TGTATAATATATGTATATCATATGTATTTTTTTTTATCAGTTACAATATGTGTCACACATATCATCTGTATTTCCGTATTGGTTATAGTGTGTTGGATACATGCATGTGCTGTGAGCTTGCGCAATTAATTGTAGTTCAGATCGGCACGAAATGAATTACCTGACAACCAGTTTCCACGTTTGCATACATTCCCGGAACGAATGGAACGTGCGCGCAGGAAAAACTTGTCGGCGGCACAGTATGATACAAAGGGAAATCTACCCCAGGAATTCCAGGGATTTTACTGAAATCTTGCTCATTCTTCGGCTTCTCGAGTGCCTTTACGACGATCGGCCTATCAAACTTCGTGCTTGGTCGAAAATCTTGGTACTCTTGAAAGTCTTGTTGTTGGTAATCGTTGTAATTGTAGTTGAAGTCTTGAACCACTATTGGATGCTAAAATAACATGTACTCGTTATGAAACATTATTCATTTTAACAATATTATAATTACATAATATTGTTATAGTTATACATAATTGTAATTATAGCGAACCACTATCAAATGCTAGAACATAACGTAAATATAAAGTGAAACTGTATTTATTTTAATAATGTAATTATAATTGGCTTGAACAACCGAATGCTGAAAAAATATAACGCACAGGTTGCAAAGTGAAACATCATTTTAATAATATTATGATCATAATTGCAGTTTTGAACCATTAAATGTTAAGAAAACATATATAGATTACAAAGTGAAACATTATTTATTTAAACAATTCTTGTTAGAATTATAGTCGTGAACCATTGAAGGCTAAAAGAACATGCATATAATAAAACAGGGTGTCTAGTCATTTGAAAGTTTCAAGGTATATAAAAAGGGGTTTAATAAATATTAAAATTGAAATGTTTTATTAAAGCTACTATGTTATATTAATTACTATAATACAAAGGATTTAATTTATTTGGTTAAGTAGAATGTAATAATATATCAAATACATTTAACATAAATTCGAACGTAAAAGGATTTGTAATGATTACCTGAAGGGACGTGGTGTATGCTGTCACCAATAGAACACCTAACAGCGGTATAACAAAATTGCAACAGTTTCTTGGCATGTCCGTACTGTACGTAATAATAAACGAAACTAATCCAGTTTTCAATCTACTGTTGGGTTCCAACTCTCCTGTTCAAAAGATTATGTCACAGCGACAGAGAGAAAGTCCTACCTGTAATAGCGCACAACTCGAACAAGGACTATTCTGATTTTATACGGACAACGTTTAATTGCGAAGTGAAATACTGTTTTATACAGGGTGGTCCATGGAATTATTACGAGCCATAATTCTTGGTTTGGTGCGAACGGAAATAAATGTGACAGGAGAAACATGAATGAATAAAATGGTAGATTTGTAGGTGCAGAGCTAGGTCTAGCCACATTTATTTTAATAATAGCCATACATAGTGGATGTTACAGTATTATTATTATTAGTATCAATTTGTTAATATGTTAATATTAATATTGATTTAACGAGTTATGAAAGGAAGGTTAAATGAAAATTGTAAGTTAATGTAATGATACTGCTGCATAGTTGTGTAAAATGTGATATGATTAATATCATTATGATTAACATGATTAATAATTGAAGGTTGGAGATAATAAAATAAGAAGAGCGATTGTAGTTGTGATTGAAGCATATGATTAACTTACAATTAGTGTAGTAGGATCTCCGTAATCGTGGGTTTAATATCCGCGGTTTCACTTATTCGAGATTGACTGGATAGTTAATGATGTACATAATACACATGTATAATATGTAATAATGAGGTTCTATTACTCGTTGGGTTTTAATTGAGTATTCAAATTTAGAAGTATAGAAAATTGCAAAATTTAAATATTAAATTTCTAGACGTAGAATTTGACAAATTTGAGAGTTTGAGAATTTTGGAATTCGGAAATTTTGTAATTTGGGAATTTGAGAATTTGAACATTTGGAAATTTAGAAATTTGAAGATATAATAGATTTATCAACCCGAGAATTTTAGATGCTTACAAATTTGATAATTTGAGAATTTGACGATTTGAGAATTTTGGAATTTGAGAATTTTGGAATCTGAGAATTTTGGAATCTAACAATTTTGATCATTTCCCAAATATAGAAATGATAAAGATGTGAAAGTAAAACACAGTATTTAAGACTAAAATTACAACGTCTTTTGCTTCAGATAACAATCTTTCGAGATTTGCATCGAAAAAAACTGCATCATGTGCAACATTCTTGCATTCTAACACCTGAGTTGCCATTTTCTTCCCTTTCTAAATCTCAACATTCGAATCTGTAGACGGAATTTCATTCTACAAACTCGAATAAAAACAATTTTCGTATTTTCTACGCTTCTCAAAAAAATAATTGTTAAAGTTATTTACTATTTTGAAGACTACGGGGTGATTAACCTTTTGTAAATGAAACTTGACGTAACTAGTGGAAATGGTCTAAAATGGGTTAATCGAGTTCCCACTGTATAAATTTACATAAACATGTGCAAACCGATCGGAACTTAACACATTCCCTACCAGCATTACATACAGGGTGTTAGCTGTAACGATACTCACGATTTTTATCCCATTTGCAGCCACCTTACAAAAAAAAGTTTAGAACAATATTTGCAAGGTTTGAAGTGCACAATAGATATTAGTAAAACAAATTTTGAAAACAGTTTGTTCTCTTGGCAAAGTCAAGGTCACCTTGGGTTTTTTAAATAGGAACATACATTTTTTTATTCATAGCTTTAGAGGACATCGAGACGAATTCAAAACACATATTACATGATATTTTTATTAACATATTACTCGATTTGCAGAAGAGGAAATGTGAAGTAAAAGACCGGAATATTCTGTTTTAAAGAAAGGATTGTGGCTCATTAAAAATATTGCGGTTGTTAGAATGATGTGAACTGCAGCAAAAATATGTCACTTTGCGAACTCAGTCGCTAGAGATAAAAACTGGTAATAAACTGGTCGTAACTTGGGAAAAATACTTTCAGTAAAAATAGGGAACCTTTTTATGGAGCTAGGAACAGCGAATATTTTGTTATTGGCATACAGTGCTGTTGCTGGATTTTGCGGGCCCGAGGTAAAATGCAACATTGTTGATACTATCGAAATTTGAGGGTGATTTTGAAAGTTTCTACGACTTTGGTCTAAATTCCATTATATTTTTTATGAATCCGGTTCATGATCAACCCAGGGTCTATCATTCTAGGTTAATTACTTACAACTTTTTAGAAAGCCGATTCGCCATATTTAATTAATTCATTTTCAGACTTAGAATTTTATTAGTTATTCAAACTTTAATTGAAATATAAAATTTAATTAAAACAATTAAAATAGTTAAGCTTATTTTGAATAATTTAATTCAATCGAAATGATTAAAGTAATTTAATATAATTACAATTTGATTAAAATAATGAGTAATAATATTTCAACAAAGAGGGTAATTTAAAATTGTTATGTTTATTACACTCGATATGTTATTTTCAAGATTTTGAAACATTTTTATTACGAAAATAGTATTACAAACAATTAATCAAATTTAACATTTGTTACCTTATTATATAAGAGTTTTTCTTTTGTCAAAAGAGAATTCGTTGTTTTGAAGTAATAAAGCACTTGTAGACAGAGCCGTCGCTAGAGCTTACGGCACCCGAAGTAACAATCGACAAATTTTCATAACAAATCATATAAAAAGCTTGATCAAAAATGAACTTAACATTACTTCAAATGTCATTTTTAAAAACAACAAAATTTATTTAATTTAATTTTTACAAATTTCCTGGGAATTTTTACGAAGTCCATAAGACTTCGTTGCTAACAGCCGTACTGTTTGTAGGAACGATATGTTAAACACGTCAATGTGAAACTTTTGAACTGTTTTATTAAGTAAAAAAATCTAGTATATACAATTAGTAAGTATAAATTAAGAAATATTCGACTCAGCACCGTAGCACATAACGTCTACAAATTATATTTACGTAGAATATTATCGAATTCTACTCGTTTACGATAAAAAATTGATATTTTAAGAATCCATGTACGGTAGACTCTCGTTATATTGCCACCTTCGTGCAGAATTTCATTCGATCAATTCACTACCATTGCAAGAAAATAAGAAAACGATTAACTCGATATATTGCCAATTTAGAGAATTGTCTATTCTTACGCAATGTAACGAAAGTCCATCGTACACTTGTGCTTATGAAGGAGCTTTGATTGAATTCGATCACTCATTTTGATTGACATTTATAAGAAGCTTCATAGTTTAAGATTGTTTCATTAATCTGCAAATCTACGCGTTTGTCAATCAACATGCTTGATTCATGTTAAATGTATTTCGAAACAAGTGTATGGTATAAAAATGTAAAAAAAAGGAAGGAAAATGTAAGTGTATGTAGAGTTATGGGTATTGCATCTAGATATTAAACCATTCGTACATTTTGATATGGTTTTTATACTTTGAAACGTGTAAATATTCCACGTGCTTCATCTTTCAATCGAGCTATAAATCACGTTCGTGAAACATGTAATTCCGATAATGCGTGAAAAAATTCTATAACAAGAATAAATATTATGAAACGAATACTGTAGAGTGAAATCAGAATAAATTTCAGCATAGTACCATAAAATATGGAAATAGAAATGAAAAATAAACTGCAGAGTATCGTATTTCAATTACGTTATAACATACTGCATTATTCTATACAGGTAATCCTCCTATAACAGGCACTTTAAAAACACGGCCCTTTTACGACATTAAAGATGGAGAAAGCATTCGTATCCAATTGGTAAACTTTACTTAATAATTTTGTTTAATGTGTTTTTGATGATATATTATTCGGAATTTAAATACTGCAGGGAATATAATATTTTATTTAATTAATTTACTTGAGATGTTACTTTTTTAAACTTATTTTAGGTTAATTTACTTTCAAAGTCAATCATTTTTCAAACGATCTTTTTTAATAAAATATCACATTTTGTGTTAAAAGTAGAACGAGATACTTCAAATCTAACAAAACACAAAAATTACGAAAACTCGTTTTTTGGTTTTCCATAAAATATTTGTTTAAAAATGTTGTAGCAACCTGTTTGTAGGGTGAGATGTTTAGGTTAGGTTTTCTTTTGTATCCTAGATTTTCTTAAATGGTGTTAGACTCATCCCACTACACTTACTTTTATTAAATAGAAGTTAACATTGCAGTTGTCACGTGCAATTTGGGTCTCCCTTAATTGAGGAGAAGTGTAGAATACTTGGGAAGATCTCAGATAGAATCTTAGGCAAATCTGAGGTAGAATCTAGGGAGATCTTAGGTAGAATCTAGGAAAATTGCATATGAAGTCCAAAATTCTACGAAAATCGTAGGGATAATTACGTAATTAAATCTCGGGAAGAATTTAGGGTGGTTTAGAGTACAAGAAAAACTTATGAGGAGTTAAAGAAATCTTAGGTAATGTAGGTATAATCCAGAATTTGCAGAAAATCGAAAGAGTTCTCGTAGGAAACCTAGGGAGAATCGAGAAGATCCTAGAAAGAATATAAGATTTTAGACAGAACCTAGAAGATCCTGGTGATAGGAGTCCAGATAGAGCCTAGGACATTCTAGAATCCTCTCCAACCATGCTATAGGAGGGTTACCTGTACCCGATGGCGACAAGCAAAATCTCTAGATGGAATTACTCTTGATGTTTAATGGAAGGTTGTCGTGTACCAAAGGAAGGTTCAATAGGTACCAAATACGTAACTTTTTCACTGGCATCACTATCTTTCTCATCCTTCACAATCGATTTGTTTTTCCTAACAAGCTTACGCGGACGCTGCAGCACTTCTTCATACGTTATGTACTCGGGTCTCGAAACAGGAGCCTTCTGCTTTTTCGAGTAATATCCTGCGGACGAATTTTCAACGGCGTATACTTGTTGAAGAGGCTTCGCAGGCGGGGGTACAGGAGTAACGGTGTATCCTTGATTGATCAAGGCCGAAATATCAGCCTCGGTTAAAGTACGTCCCTTGGCTGCCGCCGATTGGAGTATAACATGGCCGCTGGGTTGATCCGGCTCAATGACTTCCTCTATAGTTATCGACTTGATGGGCGATTTCTTTAACAAACCAGACTCGGAGACGTAAACGGACTGCGAATTAGATGGGATCTTCAACTTGTGCGCTTGTCGCGGTTGGGTGATGGCGGATTCAACAGGGTTTTCGGGCTTTGGAACGGATCTGGGGACATGGGAGGAACCGGAGGCTTGGTACTTCTGCAACTGATCATTGGTGAAGTAGCTGTTGAGCAGAGGAAGAGGAGTGGTCGTTGACAGAGTGTAATGATACAACGGTGACTCGGCGTCCACTTTTTTTCCTTGAACCTGACCTTTCGATATCGCCAAGATCTCATTGTTAACTTGACTTCTAGCTTGCTGTTGGGACTTGTACAGAGCCTCGGCTTGTGCCTGCGCTATTTCCTGCGCGCGCATCAGATTCTTCTCGAAGTTCAGCGCATAATTGTGAACTTGCTCCTGTATTTTCAGATGGACCTGCTGCTGGGCCTCCAGTTTGCGAATGGCATCTGCGTGGGCCTTAAACTCCGCAGCCTGCTGTTGTTTCCTGGCTTCGGCCGTTTCCGCAGCTGCTTGTGCCTTCAGTTTCGCTCTGTACGCGGTCTCCGCGCCCTTCGGGGTCAATTGTTCGTGCAAATGGTACCGCCCGGCGTTGCTCACTTGCGCACCGTGCTGAATCTGTTCCAGCGCAGACGGTTGCCTTATGGCTTCGGGCAGCTGACCACCACTGTGGATTCTTATTTGCTCCAAAGCATCGTATCGGTGCTTCTTGTAAGCAGCTTGCGCGATTTTCTGGAATGCCAGTGCATCGTTGTGAGCCTGAGCCTGGGCTTGAGCTTGTGCCTGAGCTTGAGCTTGAGCTTGTGCCTGTTCGAGGGCTTTCAATTGCGCGTCATCATCGATATAGTCGTACTGCGGTGCAGGGTTGTAAGCTTTGGCTTGTTGGACGGGTTGATACTGAACGGGTTCCTCGACGGATTGGTAAGAAGCTATCGGTTGTTGCGGTTGCTGATAACGAGGAGGGGATGTCTCGATGTGATACTGCTCGGACAGCTGAGGTGCCGGTGCAGCTGGCTTCGCGTACTGAACGGGATAACTCACTAATTGCTGAGAATAAACGGAGGTGCTGCCTTTAGGTTGCGTTGGGAGTAATTTGAACTCTTCCGCCTGATTGGCAGAGACCAGCTGCAGTAATTCTTGCTCGAAAGTTCCTAATTTCGGTTGGGACGGTTGTTGATAAGAGGGAGGAGGATTACTGCCCAGACGGGCAGTGCGAATGGCTTCCGCGCGATTCTGTGCTTCGACCTGAGCTTGTATTTCTGCATTCACTTCAGCTTGCGCTAGTGCCTGAGGACTGAGTTGAGGACGAGGTCTAGGTGGAACCACCGTTGGTTTACGGTAGTTGTAGTAAGCTTGTTGCAGGGCTTGCTGTTGTTTCGCGTAGGCTGGCTGCGGGTTGCGTTGCGGGGGAAGTGGCTGGGGTTGTTCTTGAGCGTACTGTTGTATCACAGATAGGTACTCCTGTGGTATCTGGAACAAATTGTTAGATTAGGTTTTTTTAGCGATGGGAATAGGTTGACTAGTGATAGCGGCAGGAATGTAGAACACTGATAGTAGTGCTTTTCGAAACTAGGTTCGATGGTAATAAATTTCTTCGCTCATGACGACCAGAATACTGTCTGCAGAATATTTACGGGTGTTCATGAGTGCATAGTTACTAGAACAAATGTACTGAGCGTTTTGTAATTAAATCAACAAAATATTGTATTAAAGATGTTTATAATTTTTTGGTAAGTCGTTTCGTAGAAAATTTATGATACTCATTTCAATATCTAAATGTACAAATTCCTAATTTCGGAATTTTTAATTTACCAAACCTGATAAGTCTTACTCAAACTTTTAATCCGCTTCAATTGAAGTTTAAGCCAAATTAAAATTTACATAATCAAGAATCAATGAATACAGAATGAACATTTTAATTTTATTTACTTATAGCAGTGAACAATCAGCAACATTTTAACTTTCTTTACTCGTAGCAGTGAACAATCAGTAACATTTTAACTTTCTTTACTCGTAGCAGTGAACAGTCAGTTTCCGATGCATCAGGCGAATAAATTATACAGCAAAGAAAAGAACAGTTCCAACAACCTTTTATATATAGAACAATACAAGTCGACGACCCAGCGAAGATAAAGATTCATTCAAAATGACTTATCATGGCAACGGTACACAAGGACGTGTGCCATATAGAGAATGTTCTGTACCACCCGCGAGGTTCGTAGACGGATATATTCTCGATCGTTGGGTGTGGTATTACCGGTTTTGTCTGGTCGGTCGAACCGATTAGAAGGTAAAAGTTATGCAACAGAGCATGATCGCGTTTAGCACGACGGAACGATCATGAACGGGTGTAGGTGTTGAGGAGATTTAAAACCCCTTCAGGATATTATGGATCAGTGATTCATTCTCCTATTTTTATGTGAACTCTTACTTATTCTTAGAAACGTGTCAGGAACGTTATTCTGAAATGTATTGGTTATACGACACTTTTAAGTCGTAACCAGCTACACCTTTTTCAAACGTTAAATGCGTTATATAATACCTGATACGTTGAAACTTGGAATTTTAAAATTAACTTCCAAAGAACAGTTTTATGATTTTTAAAGATAATTTTCATTGAACAATTTTAACAGTGATAACGTTCCCTAATTGTGAACGTTAATTGGGGTAGTTTGTTAAAGAAATAAAATTGTTACGTAATTTTTCATATTTTGCTTTTCAAAAGAGGATTTAGATTTTACGCATTCTTGTGCTCTGGAATTTAGTTCCTCTCACTTTCAAGTGGTTCAAATACTAGAACATAAATTTATGTGGAAGTTACGGCTCCATTTTACTGCTTTCAATCCGCATTGTCCCTGTTAGTGGTAAATGAAAATTATCGTATTAATTGTAGAATTCTGTATGTAAATGTTTATGCATGTTAGGTTACTATGCTATTTGGTATTAGCACAGTGAAAGTATTTCGAAAGACTATTACAGTTACTAAACAAATAGAGGTTAACATGGCTTTAATTATAGGAAAACTTTAACCTCTATAATTTACATATGTGCATTTAAAAGCAACGTAGACTTTGTTAACAGGTTAATGACATTTCAGAAAAACTTCCTTGTACCCATTTCTTTTAACACGTCAACCTGTGGTCTTTGATTTTATAAAACGAAAGCGAGTAATTACGCAATGGTTTGGGGCGAAGTTTTTTGGCAACAAAATGATCGTTTTTGTATGTAAAACAGAATACCGGAATGACAGTGGCAATCACGAATAATGACGTTAATTGAAATGAACCGATCGCAATTGTTGCAACACAATATCTGGATCAACAAGGCGAGCCCTCCGTTCTAGCAGAAAAGAAAAATGTGCAGTTCTCGTAGCTATTACACACTAGACTGCTACGTTAATCGGTGATAGGTGGCCAATAGTCACGGTTGACCAAAGACAATGATATTGCCTGTTCCTAGGGCATTTACCTCCTTTTTCAAATGTTAGATCGACAGTTTATCAAGTTTAGTATTAACAGCTTTTGGGAGATCTTCTTAAACTTGCCAGTATACAAGTTTTAAACTTGTCAGTTTCAAATATTAAGTTGAGATAAACATTGTAATAATTAGTTTAATGTATATCTGTGTAAATGCATGTATACAAAAATTTATGTGCCATGAACAATTATTAAGAAAACTGTCTTTCCAAATTTGTATTAATGTTTTGAAAGGAAGCATTTATTATTTTGAAGTACTTATTGTTGCACTATTTCTTTGCGGTCAATAAGTTCTCTTCCCACCGTGAAATATTATGCACCAGTTTCAGTAAAACTTTGTAGGTTTATAAAATAATGGCAAAAACTGCGGTATGCTTCATTTGTGCCCAATTGCCATGAAAAGTAACCTCAAAGTCAAACGGGCATTCCAGCTTTTTCAGGCATGCATAATTTCTGAAGTATAAGGAATAAAAAGAGCGCGATAAACAATATAAAAATTAATTGATAAAATTTATAATATTTGATGTATTATTGAGTTCAATTTCCATCAAGTATCGGAACAAGCGTGTGAGAACTAAATCTGGGACGCAGAAATGAAACAAATGTAAGGATATGAAAGTAAGTTCCGTGTTTTAATAAAAATTTAGAGTCCAAGGTCGTATTCCATATTATGTACATTCGAATGCCTATTTATGTCAGTTGCACACGTACAAAAATGAAAATATACACTGAAAAAGAAAGCTGTTTGATCCGTTTTAATGGCTAAGAGATATTTTCACCCATATGAATAAATTGTTTTACACATTTTATATTTATTAGAATTCTTAATATATTGTAGTGTTAGATTTACCTAAATATTTAATGAAAACTTTGTACACGAATTATTAACACAATTTAACTATGATTTATAACACGTTTTAGCACTAGGTTTACGGGACGCGTCGTTTTGACACATTTCGAATTTTTTTAGCAAAATTACAAAAACCGTTCGCATTTTTATTTTATCTCTTGTACTGACGTTTATCCATTGAACGAGGTAAATATATATTGAAGTCTATTTTCTTCAAAAGCTTTGAAATATTGAAATTTGCTATGGGGTATACCTATCTCTACGGATGTGCGTCAATTTAATGCGATCGTAATGTAAATAAAATTTTTAGTAAATTAGTTTTACCCATGCAAAAATTACAACAATAATAAATATGAACGCTCCGACAATACCTTATGAACGACGGACTTCTCTAGTCCGGAGTCGCACGCGGCCAGCTCAGCCGATATGCCGGGTTCGGACCCGGGGTCACAGTACAAACCGCAGTTCGCAGAGTAGAGGGAAGTAAAAATATGAACGTGGAATATTGAAGTAATTTATTAAAATATTATTGAATAATAAAAACTTGCTATAAATATGTATCTCATATTTTCATTTCGTACTTGTAGTGTTTAATTATATTGCTTTCTAAGTGGTTGTTTTTCTTTAAATATATGTATTCGTTCAAATTGACGCGTGTTCGTAGAAATAGGTATATAAGAAATATAAACCTAGTGTGAAACAGGACTTTTAATGTGAAATTTAAGAAAACATTGAATATATAAAATGGAACTGCTTTTCTTGCTGTTTTCATGTAAACTGTGACTTTTCAATCCTTTTCAATCGTTTCTCAACAAAAGACAGCCACCCGAGAAGATGTTATTGACTTGATTTTCGGTTTGAATTTCCCTTTTTTACAGTAGTATGATGTCGAAGTATTAGAACTTCTAGTAAATATAATAATTACCTCTTGAGTACCATCATTTTGAAGAATGTATTGATTAGGCGAGGCTCCATATTCGGTGTTAGCCGTAAGCGGTGATCTCTTCACAGGCTCCTTAACATCGATTTCCAACATGACAATATCGTCCGCATTTTGAGATGATTTCTCAGCTACAGTAGAAACCGTTTCTTGTGCAACAGAAATCGCTAAAAGACCTGCAACATAGCATAAAATCTAAATAAATTATAATAAAACAACATTAATCTTAAAGGTCTAACTCAATGTGACTTAAAAGTTTCAATTTAATATTAGTTAGTTTTTCATTCTTTAGTTCAAGGATAGTCTCTCAAGGTTTGTACTATCCTTGCAAATATGCGTTACTTTATCTATATGCGGAGGTTTATTTGTTTAAAGAGTTGGATATCTGAGAGTTGCGGTGTATTACTGTTGTGTAATACATTTCAGAGGTCTAGGTTATAATCGATCCGGCTTTTAGCGCTCGGGAATTAACTCTCCATCGCGAGGCATATATGGCAGATTCTGGTTACATTGCTACACTTGGGGGGATCTTATTGTTAGAACATTCTGTTGGCGGTTGTTTTGTTTCGGAGGACACTGGGATCTTTGAAGATTCTTGAATATTGTCAAGTTTTTGAGAGTTTAGGAGTTTGGGGGTTTGGGAACTTGGGGATTTGTGGATTTAGGGATTTGGGAATATGAGAATTTGGGAAATTGCAAAATTGCAAAATTGGGAATTTGGAAATTTGGGAAATTGCAAAATTGGGATTTTAGAATTTGGGAAATTGCAAGGTTGGGAATTTGGAAATTTAGGAAATTGCAAAATTGGGATTTGAGAATTTGGGAAATTGCAAGGTTGGGAATTTAGAAATTTTGGAAATTGTAAAATTGGAAATTGGGGAATTTGGGAAATTGCAAAATTGAGAATTGGGGAATTTGGAAATGGCAAAATTGGAAATTGGAGAATTTGGGAAATTGCAAAATTGGGAATTGGGGAATTTGGAAATTGCAAATTTGGCAATTTGAAAATTCGGAAATCTAGAAATTTTAGTATAGAAAGTATTAAAAATGTCTCCTAAATCTTTCTAATTGCCAAATGTCTGATTTTTACATCATATTTTTCCATGCATTCTAACTCTTCACAACTACACATATTAACGCAACATAACGAAGGACAACGTAAGAATCATTATCGGTGTAATAAGCAAGGGCTTAGATGGACCTATTCGTAATTGGATCAGACAGAATGGCGGAACACACGAATTTGCAAGTGACTTTTATGTCGTTCTGGCTGACTGAGAGTGTGCAATATAAAGGCGGAAAGGAGTTGAGAAAGCAGACCGACGCAGAGAAAGTTACGCGCTCTTGAGAAACTTTTCCCACGAGATTCGCTTTCGATGTTTTTAATAAAACCTTTCATTATACATACTCGAGTTACACACATGACAAAAGCAGTCTATGTAACAGCAAAACATTTCCTTATAGCATGATTTCAAATATCGAAGGTCAGTTTTATGAAACTAATGTTTTTCGGTCATTTCTGTTATAAACAGAAACACTTTTCTTGTCATTAGCCTCGTTCACAAATGATTTCATAGCATATGTGTGTTACAAAATAGCATATGTGGTACATGAAGTTAACAAATGCAAGTACATGAAGATTTCATGAATTGTCGTAATTCAAATTTATAAAGTAGCAAAACCCAGCAGACGTTGGACTGCCTGTGCATATTTATTGACCTCCGTATAAAAATGGATCTGTACGTAACCTAGAATCTATAATTCGTTGTAGAAAATGTTGAAAGATACTGTACTGATGAGATTTCATTGTTTATGTTGGTATAAGTTGATGATATACATTTTTTTATTAAGAATTCGCTCTGTAATTGAACTAACTTAAAGTCCATTTTCTGTAGGATTATCGACAACCACCTCAGGTACATACCCACCAAATTATGTCTGTTTATGATTATTATGTACCGAACTATTTAATTTTTATTGATTTGTGACGTCCCTTTTTGCTCCGCCCTTTTTTTATATACCTAAAAACCTTTTCCATGGAAAAATACATATGTGTGCTAACTTTCACCGTGATTGGTCAAATGGGGTCGAAGTCTATTAATTTCGTATAAACAAACTTCTATTTTTAAATAATCGTTAATGGAAAATACTACTAAAATGGGTTCAATTTATTTCAACAAAGAATCAGCCAATTTTTTTTGTAAGGATTTTAACGAAATGTGTAAGTAGTATTTTTTGGTAGGTCTTAAGCTTTAAAATGATGTACCATAAGTGCTTTGGAATGTTTTCATGCCATCAATTTGTTACTAAACTTTCATGTTTTAAAAATAAAACAGTTATTAATCTTGAACTTTATGGAGCGTAAAGACAAAACAGCCATAAATTATTTTCGAGTTTATCTTTTGATCTTCGAAATATATAATCATCGAAAGTTGGCGGAAAGAGTGTAAGTACCTGCGTGATATATCAGTTCTGTGAAGTCAAGCATCTGCTAAATAAGATCGTATGAATATATATTATATCCATTCACGAGGTGAACCGGAAGACTTTCTCGTAGATTCAGTTATCTTTGGTGTTGCTGTGTGTTTTTTTTTTCTTAACGAAGAGAAAATTGATTGTAAAAATGTGAATTAAACTGATAGGTTTCATTTTTAATTAATAGATTAGCATCATTTAATTACTGAAGTATTTTACTGAAATGAATACGTATTTAAGTGAAATATTGCATCTTGAACAAATTTCCAGTATTTTGTGATTCAATTCATTGAGATTTTAAATTGACTATTATTTTACTGCTTCACTATTTTACTATTTTGTTTATTTGTTGATTTAATAGTTTGATAGTTTTCTGGTTTGCAATTTTACTATTTTACTACTTTACTACTTTGCTATTTTTCTAGTTTATTATTTTGCTTCTTTGCTATTTTACTGTTTTACCATTTTTTTTACTTTATTTATTATTTTATTCCTTTGTTTTATTTTATTTTATTTTACCATTTTACCTCTTGACTATTTTACTATTTTAATTTTCAAGTATATTACAATTTTACCATTATTATTTTTTAGTGTTCTTAAAACGCCGTACATGATTAAATTAATTTTCCATATTTTAAAGAATACTAATGATTGAACTATTCTATTTTTATTTATTCATGACGGTCAATGCTAAATAATAGTGAAAGTAGAGCTACTAGAAATCTTACATATCCTCTCTTTGATCCCTTTTACGAAAAAATGTAATCATAATAAGGGTATAATAGCTGCAAACCGGTCTTTCGATACCAATATTTTTCACTCACTAGCAGTAATTACACACTTGAAATAATTATATCAATTCACTAATTACAGTACGTATGTATGTATAATTGCAAACATTTGGTCATTAAAGAGTAAAAGGAAGCTGAAACAGTAATCAAATTTTACCCTAATATTTCACTTATTATAAAGAAAACAGGCATACAAAAAGAAAAATACAAAAAACATTACCAATATTATTTATTTAATTATTTAAACTACACTCTGAAATTTCATGTAGGTATTAATATTTGTAACAATCAATTCATTATTCAATTTTACCTAATATTACAAAGAAACAAATTATATTATATAGCAAAACACCATACTTAAAACAACATATGGAATTGCAAAAATTGATATTTTTTTTAAGTCGGTATTAAGGAGTTAAATTATCTTCTGGAATGTTATCTCATTATTTTCTTGTTCGTCAATCGTTTCACACAAAGCAGCGAACAAGATGAACAATCATAACGTTTCTACACTGTGAGAAAAAGATTGCTAAACCGTCTCTATACCGAGTGTTTACTTAACGCGTTTTCCTCTTTGGAAAATCTCAGTTTTAGCCAGCAAAGAAAAAGGAAACTTGAGCACTGGATCTCCTTTTCCTTTGTTGTTACCTCGCAAGAAATTACGCGGATACAAGCAATTTGCTCGCGTTGAGTAATAAGCTGTGGGTCTTCAGCTGAAAGACAGTTAAGTAACAACCTCCGGTTAACAAATCTTATTTAATTAAAGCTTTATACTTCCATGTTACCACCTACGTACGATTTTTACATGATATTACTGATCAATCTGCATCTTCCATGAATAAATAAATCCAGCAATGTCGGAATCTTGCTTTTTATGCGTTTCTTAATATGTACACTCGACTGCAACGTAGGCTCCTTAAAGCGTAATGGCGGAGAGGGAAGCCTCCCACCGTTTGCTTTCGATTTTGTCCTTTACGAGCGGAGACGGTGTAGCCTACTTCTTCTCTAGGTTGAAATTTTCCCTAGGTCTATGTTTTCCCAAAGTCTACGGTTCCTCTTGATTCAAGTTTTTCTCATATTTAGGTTCACATAGGCTTGGATATTGTTAATAATTAGGTTTATTCTATGTCTATATTTTCACAAACTCCACTTTAGGCCCAAGTTTTTCTCAGATTTAGGTTCACATAGATCTGGATTTTCGCAATAATTAGGTTTGCTCTACGTCTAAATTTTCCAAAGAATATGGTCTTTCTGGGTCCAAGTTTTTCTCATATTTAGATTCACATAGATTTGTCCAAAGTCTACTCTAGATTTAGGTTTATCTTAATTTTCACAATAATTAGACCTAATAGTTTTCACAATAATTTGTCCTAAGCCCACATTTTCTCTAGGTCTAAGTTTCTCTTAGATTTAGGTTTACCTGAGATATAATTTTCCCAATATTGAAGTTTGTCTTGGATCTATATTTTCTCAAGATCTACGTTTCCTAGGAATCCAACTGTTTCTTTAATTTAGATTTACCTAGATCTACACTTTCACAATAATTAGATTTGTCCTAGATCTAAGTTTGCTCAGGGTGCAAATGTTTATATTGAAGCTAAGGTTTTCCTAGATTCACATTTTAACTTTAAACCAAGTTTAAACCATTTATTACTGAAAATTAGTCCTAATAGAATATAGTCTTGTCCTGTGTTATTGGTCATGATCAGACTACACTTATTATTTATCCTAATGTAAACTTTTCACCTGAAACCTCCAACAGTTAATACAATATAATGTTAATACTATCTAAAAAAGTTTAAATTTCTTTCATTTACTGCACTGTATTTTTATGACAGCAGTAATTAACGCTTAATGTAATGTTTAATGTGTTAATACACAGTAATATCTGACACATCTTCACATATCAT